ACAGCAAACATAGCATGCCTGTTAATTTTCCCAATGCAAAGACAAAGAAAAATGACCTTATAAGAACTTTGAAGCATACTGTTGCTAAGCTACTGACTATGAAATAAGGCATTACAATTATAATAACGACATATTTCTGGAACTAATATTTCAATTACAGTATATTCTTTACAGATGCTGTGTTTAGTGAAGTATAATATGTATTAAGCTCAGTTTCCACTGATGGAAGAAATATTATAATTTAGATTTAGGTTGAAAAATATCAAACCTCTTATTTAGCTCTACTCACACAACTATCATCATGTCATTATGTCCATTTGACAGTGAATCTTCAGTGCCAATTATTCTCTTATATTTCAGCTTCTTTAACTCCTTTGCCTGCAGAACGCCGGCTGATGTCTAATATAATCCAGGTCACTATATCACAGCAGTTTAATGTGCATATAAATAGCGCACAGAACAAACATAAGTAATTGCTCTGTCTGGTTGAAAGCTAGGTCGTAGGGTACAATAAATGGATCTTGTCTCAACTTTGGGGTGTGGGATGATTAGCAGTTCCCATGGAAACCATTGGTGTTTTTTGCAACATGGTCTATCTGGAGCGCTGCAAGGACTATGGTCTCAATGATAATTTATTTTGCTTTGGTCCAAAGTATCCCCAAATATATCCAATTTATTCATTTATTGACTACCTTTTACCAAATGTCTGGTCCAAATATGCTTTGACCACAACTAAACACTATCCCAAAATTTAAGCCATTAGGTATGATTTAATCACACAGGGCTGATACAGGAACTGAACACTTTGAAAAGAGAGAGTTTTATCTAAAAGTGTATGTATGCAGTCAAAATGATCACCACCTGGGCAAAGTGGGCAACTGCCTCAGTAAGTAGACCTCTGACAGCATCGGTCAAATTGGTTCTTTGTTATTGATCCAGTGGAGCAGGATGGCGACGGCTGGTACTTAACAGGACCGGGAGGCTCATCATCAAGGACATTAAGGTGCAGCATAATCACTGTGGGTCAGTGGTTGCCACCTCATAACTATGAAGTCATGGATTCAAACCTGTGTGTATGCGTCTGCAAGGACTGATGTGGGTCTTTATGCATGGCAGTTTACTTGTTCTCCTTGTGTGTTTCATCCAGGTGATCCTATCCTTTCACACCAAAATATGCATTATCCTGAATAGTTACAATGGCTCCCAGGTGTCTATGCTACTCCACTGTCAGTCTGATCTATTTGTACTTTTACTTTATATTCATTTGACCTTTTATTATGGGGTGGAGCTGCTCTGTGTGAATGTGCGAGTTTTGTTTTGTGTTGTGTAAC